GTACATTTTTATAAAATATAATATTTTAAAAACAAAAAGAAAGACATAATATTTAAAAACTAAAAGTAAGATTACAATTAAAAAAAAAGACATAACTTCAAAAGATAACATTTTTTTTCAAGTCCTAATTTAACCCAATAACATTTAAATTAAACCTAAAACCATAACATTTTACTATTAATCCTAATTAACCCAAATATTTCTTCCTAATTTGTTCCTTCATTGCTTGTAGCACCACTAGATCTTCAGGCGCCAAACCCTCCTCGCTAGTCCGAAGAATCGACAACTGATGTGTCATTAGTTCTCTCTCTTTTTGCTCCTGCTTCTCCCGTGCTTGCCTTTCTAGGAACTCCAAATGACGACGTTTCAAGTCATTTTTTTTATTTTATTAATAAATTATGCTCATCGAATTTCGCTCTCATTTCCGCCGCCTCTTTTGCTTTCGCATCAACTTCATCCGCATGCATTGCAGCGCACCTCGCTTTGTCGCGTCCGGGCGGTCGCCGTGGTGGGGATATCTCCTCGATATCATCCGGGATGTCATCGGTGTCGGCGTTTAGGTCGATGTGAGTCCGTGCGTCCGACACGTCGACCGAGCTCGAATTGCGAGACCTTTTGGATTGAACCTCCGACGATGTAGGAGTTTTATTCCACTTTGGATCCGCTCTCAACAACTCCCATGATTTCTCAAACTCGAAAACATGTTCCATTTCGACCCCATATTGTTCTTTTGCAGATTTGAACAAATCGAAGTTGTTGGTTCCGCTTTGCTGTTGCGCCTCAAGCCGGTTGTAAATACCGTTGAATTTGTTGCACCGCTTGGTTATTTAACTCTGTTTGCTGCTGAACATGTCATTATTGCGATACAGTTTTTTCCTCAAAATAGCGTGAAATTTTTCGCACACCGCCCCCCAATAAACACCTTTCTTTATTCCATTTCCGCGGAGTTCATCTTTTGAAGTAGTACACTATGCCGCCATCAAAGCATATTCCTCCTCCGGTGTCCACCATTGCGGAACGTCTGCATTTTCCATTTCAACCGCTATTGATTTCCCTTTCGCTTTTCCTTTCCCTTTCCTTCTCCTACTACCTCCCGCTTCCACTTCAACCGATGGTTGTGTTGGAGGTGATGGTTGAGTGGCTGTTTGTTGCATCAAAACAAAAGTAGGGAAACAATTTTGTTGTAAATTTGGGTTTTGACCAAATAAATTTTGTTGAAGGTAAAGTGAGTTGGACCTAGCTGTCGAGGAATGAAAGAAGTCGCTTTCTAGGAGAAGGAGTACGTTGAACACGGACTGAGACTCTCCCGCCCCTTCGACAGCAATTCCTGAACTTGACGGGAAATTACAGTGGTGGTGAAACGGGATTGAAAGCGGCGCTTTGGTATGATATTTGTGGTGATCCTTGAGACGATAAAAAATTGAAATAATTTTTGTATCCCGTAAATCCTAGAGGCGAGGTTGCGTTTGGTTGTGTGTTTGGGTTTTTTGATGATGGAGGGGGGGGGGGTGTTTGGGTTTTGCTCCATTTTTTTTATTAAGAAAGTATAAAATAGAGAGAATGAGAGAAAGAGTAAAAAAAATTGAATTAAAATGAATATTTATATAGCGTTAAAAGGGTAAATTTTTTTTTTTTTATTTTAAATTTTGACCGTTTGCAACAATAACATACCCCAACGTATACCTTTTTCGCCTTTTCAATACGTGGTAACGGGCACGAGAACTGCCTTAACGAGAAGAAACGAGAAGCGGGTGCGGTGTTCCCCCGTTACAACGCCGTTAAGGCGTGTCCACGTCACCCGAACGAGCAAATAGAGACCCATACCGCATCGTCTAAGTAAACAAGGTCAACATACTTACATCACCAACGTTATGATGATCTCGTGCCACCAACATCACGACATTGTTGAGAACCTCTACCGAGAAACTAGAAAAGCAAAATGTCGATATATATATATATATATATATATATATATATATATATATAATTAGCCCACTTGTGTATATATTAGCCCATTTGTGTATATCCTAACTTTGGGCCCAAGGCCTTTGATGTATGTATTTATTTGTTGCGTAGAATCGTAGATTGTGATTTTGCTTATTAAGAAAGATAGTAAAATACACATTAACATGCTATCATAACTTACATCTTACGCACGTTATAAGCTATTATTCCATCCTTTTATGAGAGGCCTTAAACGATCCACTTGACCAAATTGAAATCTAAGTGTATTCTTGAGATCGTATATAAACGATTTACTTAGAAAATAAATGGTGATTGAACAATCTGACCCGCCCGCGAACAAATTTTATGATAAATGATCTTCTTGTGAGTATGAGTATTAATATATATCTTATATAAAAAGGACAAATCATGTAAAAGACATAGACATAACATTTATTGCTAAAATTTTGAGGAGACAGTGAAACGTGTTTGGTGTGATATGAACCATTTGTTTATAACAAGTCAAAATAAAACGGGAATGACAACACCCCATAAATCATTTTCCTTATTTGTAAGCGCAAAGAATGCAATAACCTTCTTAGTTACGATCTTCTAGTATATTTTAATATTACTTTTATCTAAATAACCATTGAAATGTTCTTGCATTTTATCTTTTTATATTATTTTATTACAAAAATGACTTTTTTTCTTTTCATAAATGCATGGACATGCATCTATCATACATGTAATATAACAATGACAAAGTTGTGTAAATTGTACATATGGTTTGCAAAAAAAAAAGTACCATGAATAGTTCTTATGAGAACTTTTTGACACGAATGATCCTTATGGTTTGAAAAACTTGTATCGTAAGTCTTTACAGCTAACACCGTTAGAAAATAATAGTTAAACACGTATGAAATAGCCAATATACCCCTTGTTATTTTTTCAGTTTTCTTTAAATGACCAATATCTAATGGGACCCACATATCGCCCCCACCTTACCTATCCTCCAACTTCACATGTTATTGTGGGAAAGGGAGATAGATTGTCAACCTTACCCAGGCTGGCTCTACCCTTTGCAAAACTAAGCAAGGGCTTATGGCCCCCAATTTTAAAGCTTATTCTGTTAATTGTATATGTATCTATATGTATTTATTGGGTTACAAAGATAAGTTGGAGATTGGCCTGGTGATAAAAACGCTTGTTTGTTAAACTAAGGGTTTAGGTTTGAATCTATTTGCTTACCTTTCATTTAAGTTATAAAACCGAAGGGTCCCAATTTTTTGTTTGCTTAGAGCCCTCAAATTGGTTGAGTCGCCCCTAACCTTACCCATCATCCAACTTCACATGTTATTGTGGGAAATGGAGATAGATTGTCTGAGAAATTGGAGAGGAATCTAGTCATTAATGATTCTAATAGTAGCGACGATAGAAAAACCATAGAGATAAGAAATAAGATAATAAGATTCATTTTCAATGAATGATCCTTGCGGTTTGAAAAAAACTTGCGTCGTGAGTCCTTATGGCTAATACTATTAGAAAAATAAGAGTTAAGTCCATATGAAATAACCTATATACCAATTGTTATTTTTTCCCTTTTTCTTTAAGTGACCCACATCTAATGGGACCTACATATCACCCTCATCCAACCCCTACTCTAACTTTACATGTTATTATAGTAAAGGGAGAGAGAATGTAAGAGAAATTAAGGAATGACTTTGGGCTCATCTTTTCTGGTGACTCGATAGTAGTGATGAGAGAAAAACAAGAGAAATAAGGAATGAGAGAATAAGAGTCCATTCTAGTCATCACCTAGCGACTCACTTGGTTAGGACAGTGGTTTCCCATAAGGGAGGTCACAAGTTTAAATAAGGGTGGCTTCAACTAGGAGTAGCTAGGAGAAGGTTCACAATGTCGTTTGACAAACATATCCAAATCTTTCACCATATTTTGAGCTTTCTTTGCAGGAGCCTAAAAAAACACAAGTACTCTTTTAAAAAAACAAATAATAAGATTACATCCAATAAATCTTGATGTGTTCTATGGCCAACATCAATATACTAGAAGTGGAAAAAAAAGTAGACAAAGTCTCATTTAGCAATTGGTATGTTATATTGGACTTCTTATTTCACACCCTTTTCAAGATAAGATTCATTATTGAGAGATAAATGGAGAAAGAAATTACTTGGTGGTCTTTGATAACCTCCGATAACGACTAGAACAAGACAATGAGAAGAGTTGGAAATAATTAATAATGGTATCTGATGATTTTTTAGGTGTTACACTATGTTGGTACTTGATCGAGTTCAATATTTATTAAACTTAAAAGGTTATCTTTTTTGGTCTTAATAAGGACATCTACAATTTAAGGCTAAAAAGTTTTAACATGTAGGTGTAGTATTCCTTTATATATATATATATATATATATATATATATATATATATATATATATATATATATATATATATATATATATATATCCCCATTTTGGTTAGATTTGTGAAAAGCCCCCTATTTTTTTATTTAATTACTATAACCTTAAAATAATCCATATTGTACCTTGAATATTACGATCTACATAGAAATAATATATAAAAGCATTTCGAATGGTTAACATATGTTATAATTTAAAGTAGTTGTAACATCATCATCTATTAATTTTGACATTTAAATAAATGACTTCTCCAATGGTTAAACTTATTTTAATAGTTTTTTCTATAAATTTAACTAATTTACCTTTAACTACCTAAAATGTTTTATAGAAAATCTAATTTAATTAATTATTTTTTAAAAATAAATCATATAAAATATAAAATACAACTATCTCAAGTTTTTATTTATATACCCAAAATATGAAAAATTATTATGTTTTAGTTATTAAAATACAATAAAAACATTGAAAATAGTTATAAAATAAAATATGTTTAAAGTTGAATGGGTTAAATGTACAATTTATGAAACTATATTGATCGATGGTCAAAATAATAAATAAATAGAAGTTTGCTCCGAAAATGTTAAGTGATCATTAAAAAAAACAAATAGTAATAGGTTTTGTGATTGTGTCGCTTTGTGATTTGCATCCTCCTGTTCCCATTAAAAGTGAAAAGCCTCTGTTGTATGTAGCTTACATGATACATAATTATATATACATACACCAATCATTAGCCATCCCCAAACCAAAATCGGGATGGTTTTAGAGATCGTACATCCTAATTCTTGTATCAGAGGGTGCTGCCGCAGCGATTCGATCCCTCTGCACCTCTCATCGTCTTCCTACTCGCTCTCACTTCCAATTGCTCGAGGTATGAAAACTTCCATTTTTTAACTTGAACCAAAAGGAATTAACATATGCAGAAACCCCAATTTTACGTTAGCAGGTGCTGAAAGTGTTGTTTATGATGCAACTTTGGATGGGAAAAGAGTTGCTGTTAAAAAGCCCGTTTTATCCACCTCCGACGACATTAATAAGTTTCATAAAGAATTGCGATTGCTATGGTCAGTTCTTCTATTCTTTCCTATCTTCAAATAAGTCATATGCTTCATTCAGTTAAATGGACACTCCCTTAGTTCTCTTACACCTTTTGATGTCAAAATTCAAAAACTAATTAGTTTATGCAAACATAATTGGCACAGATTTTGATACCAAGTTTGTTGCACTTCTTATAAACTTATGTAATTTGAAACTTCCAAATAAGTCAAGGGTTCATAAAAGTTAAGCTGCATACCAACTGTTTGATTCTTCAAAAAGTCAAAATATGATCTGTTTTTCTGTAATGGAAGGAGAGTATGAACTTGCTGGCATATCTGTAACTTGTTTGTATGATTTGAAACTTGAAGCAAGTTAAATCATCAAGGGATTGCGACATTGGTAGCAGCACATGCAAGACCACCAAACTACATGTTCTTCTTCAAGTTGTATGAGTTTGGAAATCTTTCTCAGAAGTTACATGTTGAGGAATGGAATCCAAGTATCAACCAAGCACTTATGATCACCAGACAGCTAGGTAAAAAACACTTGCACTCCTTATTAACCGACTTGATAGTTTAATTTGGGTACAAAAGCTAAGTTAACATTATTTGTGATGTCTCTTTTGCAGCAAATGCTTTACAGTATCTTCATAACATTGGAATTATACATAGAGATGTGAAGCCAGCGAATGTTCTTGTAAGTTACTGTAGTAATTAATCTCAAATTTCTAATATATATGTGTGTCTAAATGCAAGATTTGCAACACACTTTCATATATTATGTCCTCCTACTTATATTTCTTTCTATTACAACGTTGTACTTTCAATATTTTTCTTATTAAGGCATCATACTTTGCTGAATCTACCTAATTATAGCATTGTACTTTCAATTCTTTTCATATTCTAGCAGTGAAAATTACTTTGTCTTTGGATGACATTGCTATAAGTGGGTAGATTTTTCCAAGTAAAATGTTGTTATGGGAAGAAGTTGAAGGAAGATGCTATAATAAGCAAATTGGTTCTGTATGATTTATATAGAAGCTTTTGCTTTTTCAGTTCCATACTGTGTTTTTAGTGGTTGATTACATGATTCTGATTTTGATGCAGCTTGACAAAAGCCTGCAGCCACATCTTGCAGACTTTGGTTTGTCTGAATACAAACAAGATCTTAAACAAGTCACACTGGAAAACTGGAGATCATCAGGAAAGCCAACAGGTGGATTTCATAAGAAGAATATGGTAGGTACTCTCATTTACATGGCACCTGAAGTATTGAGAAAGGAGATTCAGACCGAAAAATCCGACGTATACAGTTTTGGAATTTCAATCAAGTAAGAATCCAATGACAGACCTTTTATGACATAATATTTGTATTTCCTTCAGTTATGAGGAGAAATCCAAAACTTGACGCTTAACCCATTGTAGTGAACTTCTCACAGGTGTTGTCCCATATACTGATCTTCGCACTGAAGCACAGGTTAGTTGTTTTAATCGAGCTAAATGCAAGAAATAGCAATGTAGTTTCATTTTCATATATCGGTGTATTATATTTATAAGTTATAACATAATAATATAATATCCCCTGATGTCAGGCTCACACTGTGCTGGAAATGAACTACACTGAACAGCAACTGACAGCAGCTGTTGTGTCTGAAGGGTTAAGACCTGCACTTGCAGGGACTGAATCAGGTGCACCACCAAGATTACTATCTCTGATACAGAGCTGCTGGGATGCTGACATCCACAATAGGCCTTCATTTGATGATATCATCACCGAACTTGATCTCATCATGGAAAATAATAAGATCTTAAAAGTAGAGGAGAATATTCTCCCTCAATCATCCTCAATTGATGACATCACTCAGATAATCCAACCTTATAAAGAGAACATCAACTGGTTTGTTCAGGGTGAAAATATTTTGAAGACTGTAAATGGAAGTGGTCTTGGTGTGGAAAATTGGAATATTTATTCGGATAGTTCTTCAGTGTATCTTCCTGTTCTATCATGGGGTTCCTTTGCTACTTGTGGAAGAAGGGAGTCCATGGAGGATACTCACTTTCTTATGCCTCATGTGGAGAATCAAAAAGATGTCCATATGTTTGGAATCTTTGATGGCCACAGAGGTATATGAATTAAGCTATGATTGTTTTAAGTATGTTGGGTATTATTTATGGGTTACAAATACAATACATATTGGTATTATGCAGGTGGTGCAGCTGCAGAATTTTGTGTTGGAGCACTACCAAGACTGTTATTGCAAACTCTAGATCATGCCACCAGGTTTGTATTGGTTATTATGAATGACTCTCTCTACCTTTGAGACCATAAAGTATTATTTATTATTATTTTTTTTAACGAAAATTTACCTTTTTATTTCTATACTAATGACAAATGCAGTCCGCATGATGCACTTAAAGAAGCATTCATCAACACTGATGTGGCATTCAGAAAGGAATTGAATTCCAATTCCGAGTGTAAATCCAAGAAAGAGTATCACCCAGGCTGTACAGCAATTGGTGCTGTTATAGTTGAAAATAGGCTTTTTGTTGCTAATGCTGGTGATTGCAGAGCAATCTTATGTCGTGCAGGTTCTGCCATTCCTTTAAGTAAGGTTGTTATCAATCTGATCCATTTTTATGACATATATATTTTTCTTGATTTATACATACATGCTTAATTTTGTATTTTCTTTTGTGTAGGACCATGTTGCAAGTAGTCCTGAAGAGAGAGAACGAGTTATGAGTTTAGGTGGTGAGGTCAAATGGCAGCTTGACACGTGGAGGGTTGGCCAAGCTGCCCTACAGGTTAATTTTGTTTGCTTAATTCAGTATAGATAAACCCTAGTTCTATTATATAAAGCAAGTGCTTTTTAAAAAAAAAAAATTTAAATGCTGTTCATAATTAATAGGTTACACGGTCAATTGGTGATGATGATCTGAAGCCTGGGGTAACTGCAGAACCGGAGGTTACTGAGACCATACTTTCAGATGAGGATGAATACCTGGTATTATATATATATATATATATATATATATATATATATATATATATATAAATATATATATATATATATATATATATATATATATATATGATATTATTATGTACTTTACCATGTTTGATATATATAAGGGAGAATTTCATATATGCCCTTACTAAGCTTCAAAATATCGTATTTGCCCACCTTTAAATCTAAATATCATATATATCCTTATTAACCTTTTAAAATATCGTATTTACCCAAATTTATTTTTAAAACATATTTTAAAATCTTTTAATCATTTTTCATATTTTATAATCATTTTAATTAAAAAAATAAAACTAATTGTCCAAATTGCCCTTTAATCTTGAAACATTTTTCCTTAACCTGGAGTCCTGGATAGATCATATTGCCCCCAAATCGCGTTGCTATCAACTTGAAACTAAAGTAAAAGTACAAAGATTAAGCAATTCCATTTCTTTTCCAAATAAATAATCCAAGATTTCTTTTTCTCGCTTCTATGCATATTTCAATGGTTTGTGTCTTGTTTGATATTGATAAAGGTGTAGTATTTATTTGATTGGATATGAAAAAATAGTTGTTGAGAGTTTCAGTCCAGCGTATCTACGACGAGGGCAATTTCTGGAAGCAATCAATTACAAGGTTCAATTTTTCAGTCTTATGGTTAACTAATTGTTTTCTCAGTTGATTAACTCTGGATTAAGAACAAAAGCATTTATGGTGTCTGTTCATTGGTGTTGATGGCAATGCCGATTGTCCCAGTATTCGATTGTACTCGATAACTATTTATTGCAAGTGGAGACAAAGAATTAATTAGTTATCATAATACAAAAGTTATTCATGTTCTTGTGTCACTTTAACACCTTTAACAAGGTGTTGGTTGCTTCTCCCGAAAAGAATTTGCTGCAAAGTCTGAATTTAAGCTCATCAGATATATGTCATGCGTACACAACCACAGTCACAACAAGCTCCAGGTAATGGTTTCTCCGGAGGTGGAGGGATTTTCAAAGACTTCTTTGTTTCCGTTATATCCTTAACAACGTTAAAACCATCACCTGATTAAGCTTCCTTCTTAGTATGAGAATCATCCATGGTGATATTGAAATTAAAATCAAAACTGATATGTGGATAACTTGTGCTTCCGACAGAAACTGAATTGGATTGTGATGAGATAGATTAAGAGTGGTTGTGATTCATTGAATACAAGGGAAACTCATGGCCGATTGATATTAACGTATCAAAGCTATTGGGGATTTGGAGGGCCATACCATCTATATCTAGGTCAAGGAAAAAGGGTTTTAAGATTAAAGGGCAATTTGGTCCATTAGCTTTTTATTTATAATTAAAATTATTATAAAATCTGAAAAGTGTTTAAAAGATTTTAAAATATATTACAAAAATAAATTTGGGCAAATACGATATTTTAAATGTTAAGAAGGGTATATATGATATTTAGATTTAAAGTCGGGTAAATACGATATTTTAACGTTTAACAAGGGCATATATGAAATTTTCCCTATATATAATTAGGTTGCTATTTATGGGTAAAAAAATAAAATTTTCAGGTGATGGGTAGTGATGGGCTGTGGGATGTTGTAAGTAATGATGAAGTGGTTGAGATAATGAAGAAGACAGTGAAAGAGCCTGGAATGTGCTCCAAGAGATTGGCAATGGAGGCTGCAGAGCGTGGTAGCAACGATAATATAACAGTCATTGTTGTCTTTCTTCATCCCGTATCCACTGCTGAGAGAATTTACTAGAAATTTATATATTTATTTATGTTTATCTTTATGGTAGTTATAGATATATAGTTTGATTCTTAACAATATTTATCTATCCTATAAGTTCAATAGACTTGTATATTCATTTATATGTATCTGTATGTTTATTGTTGATTAAGAACTTTTTTTGAGTGAAATTTTTAATAAACTTGTATTGTTTATCAGGTGATGACTTTACATTAGAGAATGAAGTATCATGTTAGAAAATATTTTTAAGTTTAGTGAACTATATACACAAATCAAAATGAGGGGTTATTACAAGTTTAGTTTGGTTGGAATAAAAACTAATTTGTATTGCAACATAAAGTAGAGATTGCTTAAGGAATAAGTGTAATCAAACATATTCTTATTCATTAGTTCCTATGTATTGTTCAATTTCTTTCTGTTTTCCAGGCAAATTATCCCTTTGCAACTCTTATATCCAGTTTGTCGCTTCAAGGAACAAGTTTCATCTGCAATACAACAAGTATGGCTATTTTTCTTTCATTCTTGAGGTTATTATATATATGCTTTGTTTGGAGAATATATATACAAATAGTGATGCTTAGTTAGAAACTAAAAAAAAAAAAAAAAACATCATGACTTTGTCCACATTAGAAATGTCTTTCAGTCTGTGAATGTCAAGTTTGGAGGAATACTTGAAATCCAAGGAGTTCACCCACATCATCTAGGGTTTGTTCAAGGGATTGAGAGGCATGGTCACTGCAAAGAGTGCAATAACAAATTACAGTACAGGATGATCTTTAAATGCTTGGTGTGTGTGTGTGAGAGAGTATGCGATTCACTATGATTGTGCTTCTGTACTTACAAACTATATGTACTCTTGGTTGTGATGTTTAAACCTACTTTGACAACAATTTTTCTTCATATCAAAAAAATCACAAAGCCATATTTCCTGCAGAAAATAGCATTTCCTTTTCTTAGTTTTGTAATTTGTCTTTAAATTATCAAGTAAAAAGTAATGTACTTTCACTTCATTTCTAATTTGTTTACTAAAGTCCTTTTACTTGTCAAAATTGATTGTTTACAGTAAATTTCCCAGCAAACTTGTAAAATGCCGACACATAATGGTTTTTTTTAACACATTGATATGATTACCATGTCGCTGATTATAACTTGCCTTTAAGATGCGTATAGTTTGTTACAAAAGAAAACCGAATTTACAAAATGTACATGATAATTGATAAATGGAGTCCTGGATGTTATAGAATATAAGCCATAATATTGAGGCTATGCAATTACACAACACAAGCACGAAATCCAGCACAAAGTTCCATGAACAGAAAAGGAGGTCCAAAAACTCTTTGCCAGTCCACAAGATATGATGATTCTGCACTGCCTTTGTATAGCTGATCCAACAAAAAAATATATATATTTCCTTCATTACCAAGATTCTAAAACACCAAAATGCAAGAAATGACAACCTACTTTCATTTATTTGTGTATTATAGCATCCTACTTTTATTTTTTTATAATGGAGTGACTAAAAGATAAAAAGCAATTGCATTTCTTGCCTGAATTTCAAACTTGACTGCATCACACAAACTAAAGGCTTCCATGTTTGAGGTCTTGATTGGTATATTCTGACAGGTGGCATCATCTCTATGGATGCCTATAGACTTGGAATAGCTTTCAAGTGCTGCTGGTTTCCATAGACATTTCAAGTTGTATGACCCGATCTTCTTCCATTGTACATTCAAGCTCTTGAGGACGCTTAAAACATGTCTCATAGTTTCATGTGGTGATGCACAAGACTGCATTCAGAAATATATATATCAATTTATATCCAAAAAGATCTAGGGCACCAAACTTTATGAAATAACCCAAGAAAGTTTGTCCAATCCTGTTATAACAATGCATAAAGACGAAAATGACCTTGAATCCAAGTACCCATTTGCCTTGAACAGGAGAAACTGGTCTTACATATATTTCTCGGCGATCTGTGCATTCCAGTGGCTACAAGAATCAGAAATAAATAAATAATACCCCCTTTTTTTTAAAATCTATGTTATCTTTTCATAATGAAAATTATACTTTTGTCTTCCCAAAACGGAAATACAAGTTGCAATTCATGATAATAAAAGAATAACTGAAGTTACCAAAGATGCTAGAGGATTGTCTTTGTTGTAATTATGGTTACTCAACAACTTATGCAATAATATAGAATATGTAACAGTTGCCTGAAAGGAAAATATTAAGAAAAAATGGTCACTTTTACAGTTGAAATATATGTAATGGAATCAACAATTGAGAGAGTTTCATCACCTGATTTTGCAACAGGTTGTTCAAAGATCCAATAACTTCTTGAACATTGAACCCTAAGATATCCATCTGTTCTAGAACTCGAACATCAACCTTGGAATATACATACACATGATTATTAGATTTCAGATAACTGTATCAAGAATGGATAAATAAAGAAGTTACTTTTTACTGATTATAGAAATTCTGAAATTTGATAACTTTATATACCTTTCTTGCACTCCATGAAGTATCGATCGAATGGCCTGCAATGTATTTTGGAAGATGTTCTTGAAACCATGCATGCTTGTATATTTCTGGAATAGTTATACGATTAACCGAATCAACAATAAGCATCTTTCTAATTAAGTCACGTGCTCCAAGAGACAAGTAGTTTGGGTATGTGTATATTCCACTCTGATAACAAGTAATTAATACCCATGTCAGTGTATATATATAAGTTTCACTTGAGAACTTAAATATATATACAAACCTTTATCTTTGCATATAAGCCAGAAAGATTGTCATCATCAAAAGGAAGACTTCCACATAAAAGAGCATATAAAATAACCCCACAACTCCAAACATCAACTTCAGGTCCAGCATAAAGACGTTCTGAGATAACCTACATCAAAAAAAGTTGTTTGTTTCTTTTAAAGCATCAAGAGTAAACATTTATATTATTAAGTCCATTAAGTAAAAAAGAATCAACTCACACACCTCTGGAGAAGCATAATTAGGGCTTCCACAACTTGTTTTTAGAAGATGTCCATCTCGCATGATATTAGCAAGTCCAAAGTCAGCAATTTTGACATTTCCTTTTGTGTCAAGAAGTAGATTTTCAGGCTTAAGATCTCGGTGAACCACCATGTGAAGGTGGCAACTCTCTACACCTGAAATAATCTACATGGAATCATCATCCATTAGCTTGTGCCTTGTGGAATAGAATATATAAATTTGTATCTTTAAAATCTTGAAAAATTCAACAACAAAACACAAGGTGATAGTGTGATATAAAAAGAGCAGGATGATTTTGTGCAAGAAACATGAGCATGGATACCTGTTGAAAGAGATGGCGAGCTTCACCTTCCTCAAGTCTACCATTTTCAGTGATATAATCAAATAGTTCACCTGAGTTCATATACTCCATGATGACATATATACATGATCGAGTCTCTATGACTTCATAAAGCCGAACAATATGAGGATGGGAAAGAAGCCTCATTATATTAATCTCTCGTCTCACTGAAAATACAATCATGAAGAAGTAAAGGAAATCATCAACTTCATCACTTCAGAGGAAAGAAAGCGGCAATTGTTGTAATTTTAGGAATACCTTTCTCTGCAGCAGAATCATTGATTGATTGACGAGCAAGGATCTTTATGGCCACTTTGACCCCGGTCAAAATATGTTGGGCTACTTTGACTCTACCGAATGCTCCAATCCCAAGGGTTTTCCCCATTCTGTAGTTTGATAGAGGTGGCATTGGTAAGCTTCCATTACCACTGGTTTCACCCATTTTAAGAGACCCGGAGTTTCAATACCCTCAATCTTCAGGGTACCTACATAAGAAAAAGAAAGGGAACACATACTAACAAAATAGATCGATCGTTCATCGTTCTCACAGATTAACAAATAGATCGATTGTTTTCACTAGGAAAGAACACATAATTAATCAAAATATAAGAAATTGAGGACGCAAAAGCGATTCACCTCTGAACATTAGCAAATACCCATATGATTTGATGTACATGTATTTACAGTTTCCAGGAAGCGAAACGAATCATAGAGCCAAATAGTGAACTTGTTTCAACAAAAAGTAATCTAACCAAGTTGGAAAATAACAAACACACATATGTCTTTTTTTACAAGCAAGGTAATTTACATATAATCAACTCGTATCAAATTCCCTGTTGGTAAACAAATGATGAGTTTCTGCAACTAACCTGGGAGCAGAGTATTTCTAGCAGTGATCACTCGAAGAAAAGGTGTAAGTGGCAATGATCAAGTTAGGGGGGGATAGATGGACACGGAAAATAAGAAATGGAGTGAGTATTACATTTTTGTCTCCGGTAGAAGCCATTGATACATAGAGACAAAAGCTTTGACGGAGTCGTAAAGAGAAATTGCCGGAAAACCCATGGGTTTATCCGTTGAAAGAAGGGCAAGGACACAAAAGCCATTTACCTCCACCTTACTCAACTTTTCAAAATTTTTTGGGGCACTTTATTTTATACATTGTTTGGAGATTGTGCAATTTTAATCACCATGATCCATGACATAGTTGGATTTAGACAATGCCAAAAACATAATTTATTAGACATATTGTGCAACCCAAAAGTATTTTTATAATGAACTTTATGGTATATTTGGGTATCAGTTGAAAAACTAGCTTCTAAAAAATAATATTTTGTAAAAATTAATTGATAATGTTAGCTAAAAATATAAAATAACTTTGAAGATAATGAGTATTTTATAATCAATTAAGGATATATTTGGAAATATTTTAAAAACCGATTTTTTTATATAAGTTGTTTTTTGACTTGTGAAACATGACAATTTAAAAAAGTTCGAAAAATAAACTACTTTATAAACTAGTTTAAATACCAAACAAAACCTACCTTTAGCAATTTATTAGATACGTTCTTTTATCCCAGCAAAGCCCTACTTATTAAGAGGGGACTCTTTGGCACCTTAGAGAAATTCTTCTGGCACAACACACACCCACTTAAAAGAGCACACCACCCTAATCCCTAAAGAAGAGAGGGAAAGAAAGCTTCAAGCGATCTCGGATCCCACTTTTGATCGAGATGAAGGTGTAGTTTTCACTAGGAATCCCAGGGTTGTCGATCGTCAATGAATAAAAGTTTATTCAATGGAATCACTTAAGCCGCTTCAAGGTTATGTATTTAATTCGTATAGAAATCTATTTCAACATAATTATGATGATGGTATTTGGAACATTTATATTAGGCTAATTAATTATTAGAACACTCGCCATGGTGATCAAAATTTATTTTGGTTGTTGCCGCAATGCTTGCAAAATTTTTGTGGTGAGTTCAAAAACACAAGTGTGTATACGCGTGTGCGCACGCGCGCGCGCGCACACACACACACACACACACACACACACATATATATATATATATATATATATATATATATATATATATATATATATATATAGATATATATGGGGTTAAGTTCATGTGTTTTTTATATTTATTGTGTGCTAGAATGCACCAATAGGAATTTAGTAAAATTAAATAATTATTTAATTAAATAAAGATAGATATTAAATGATTTTCATAATTTTATGTATACTGTTATGCAAAATCTTAAAAAATTCATAACTTCATCAAATGAAGTCGGATTTGGACATTCTCTATATGCACGCTCTCGGTTTCACATATACTACAACTTTCGTTTAGATTGATAAGGCTAAAAAGTATTTTGTCAAAAATTTACTTTTTACGATATGCGGAGTCGTGCCGGTTTTGTCGCAAAACTTCGACGGGTAATAACTTCTTCATTATAAGTCGAACTGCAACGTTCTTTATATGTACGGTATCCTTGTGACATATACTATACTTTGGTTAAGATTATTTATTCTAGATAATCTTCTATCAAAAAATCATTTTTAACGCTTATTATCTCTAAATTGATTAGCTCGAATCTGCGGGCGTTACAAAGCCTAAGGTTGGGTCTTTCCCTGTGTATAGGTGATCTGTAAAGTGGCCTAGCGTAGCGATATTCTTTTCTGCTATCTTTTCGGATTTACAATGTGAGTTTTCCTCACTGTACTTTTTGGTCGAAGGCACCAAGGCCGGTCCCTTTGGATTGTTATCCTGGTTTATCGCATGCTTGTATGCTGTAGTGATCTGTTAGATTTGTATCTTGGTATATAGGATGATGCTATGCTTAGTGATATGTTAGATATGTATGATTGTTTGTATATGCTAGCTAGGGTTTGATATGGTATATGTTGATATGTGATGGTATGTTAGGTTGAGGCGGTCCGACTATGTGCTCAAGGCCAAGAGACCTAGGGCGTCCCGGATAGACTGCATGCCAGTGGGGCGTACCAATCAGGCCGAAGGCCCGGTGAGGCGTAGCAGTCATGCTGAAGGCCCGGTGAGGCGTACCAGTCATGCTGAAGGTTCTGTGAGCGTACCAAAGAGACTGTAGGCCGGTGGGGCGTTCCAGTTAGACTAAATACTTTGTATGCATGTTGTTTACTGTTATTATTATGATTATGTGTTGTGTTGGTACTTTGGGGGAAACTCACTAAGCGTTGGCTTGCAATTTTGGGTTATGTTTCAGGTACTTCAGAGGATCGCGGGAAGGAGAAGGCGTGACCGTACACATCCTCATGTCTTGGACTTATGATTTTGGGAAACTCTGAACATGTTTTGAAAACTATATTGTAACATGTTTTGAACATGTTTTGAAAACTATATTGTAAACAATTTATGATCTTGGGTTGGTTTTTAAAAAGTTTAAATTTTTCATGATTTTTATGGATGTTACACTCTCATTGAAGATTACTCCCTCACTCTCAATCCCGGTGATCGTTGCCTTCTTGTCGGATCTAATGGCGCTGGTTCATCCCTCTTCTGTCCTCTTTTTTTCAATTTCAATTCTATCCATATCGATCGTGAAATTTTTATTGAATTTTAAAACAAAAGGAAAAACGACGATGCTGAAGATACTTGGAGGGAAGCATATGGTGGAGCCTGATATGGTTAGGGTTCTTGGTAGATCGGCGTTCCATGACACTTCTTTGACTTCTTCGGGATGACCTAGCTTATCTTGATAGAGAGGTAATTTACTTCCGCTTCTCTTTCAATTGGGATTTTTACATTATTTTGGGTCAAAATAATCAAATTTAGAAAAGCTTGATTGATCTAGATAAATGTCAAATTACTTACCTATCATTAGCCTGAAGAAGCACAAATTCTATGAACTTCCATCTCTTACAGTTAACTGTTACCACATAACTTGGATTTATAGATGTGCATCAGTAGGAATTTAGACACATTTCATATATTGCTAGTGTTGATTCATTTAGCATATTTACAATATGTTTTAGATCTTCTTTAGAATTAAAATGTGTCTTGTTTATATTTATAATATATCATCAATTCTTTATATCCCTTAAATCCACATAGTTGTTTAGATCCATGAAATTAGCATACAAATGAAGATAACAAAATCACCCTTTAAGAAATTATTCTTTAGTTAGGTTCACAGAGTTGCAAATGACATCTTGATATTAAAGTATATAAAACTATAATCAATTAAATTAAACTAATTGTATCAAGTATTAATTAAACTAATATGACATGTTTGTGTTTTAAAAAAAATATAATTTATATTATATTAATTGTTTGTGGTTTAAAAAAAGAACAAATTACTGAAATCGTCCCTGTGGTTTGGGTAAAATTGCATGTTGAGACCTAACTTTTTTTTTACATTCGGGCAGTCCCTAACATATCATTTTGTTGTGTCTACAGTCCCTTGTAGAGATAAAAAGACTATATTACCCTTGACATTTTCTTTTTCAGTTTTTCTATATTTATAAATTATTTATTAATTAAAGAAAATAAATTATAAGTAATTTATAAATAAGTGGGTCCAACTACCATTTTCCCCTTCCCCTCCACCTTCCACCTCCACCATCTACCTCCGGCAACCTCCATCTACCTCCGACAACCTCCGGTAACCTTGGTTTATAAAATGAAAACCTGCAACTACCCCCACCACTCTTTATAAAATCAAAACCTTCAATCAATACTAAGCCAAACCATAAATCAAAATCAAATCCTACAGAAAATGATCAATGATCAGTCAACTACAAATTTGGAACATCAACTGAGGGGAGGCAATGGAGGGGAGGAGGTCGTTTTCTTGCTGTGATTCCCGTTGAGATTGATGTGATTCCGACCATCCAACCTCCAAACGACGACCATCTTCTTCTACCTTACATCGTCGCTTCCTCACCATCCATAGTTGGCTTGAGCTCCCACCACCCCACCCCAACCCACGACTAAATACCCAATAAAACCCTTTTCAATGGTTTTCTTCTGCTCAATTATCTCATTCCCCTCCCAAATCGGTAAAAGAACAGAACACTTATGATGTATCTCTCGATTGTCTTCTTTCTCGACTGTTTGTTGATGAACCAAGAGAAACATACTTTCACATTCTTCTTCTGGTTCGAATTTTGGTGTTGAATAAATTCTCGACTGTTTTTCGATTGTCTTCTTTCTCGGGGTTGTCATCTGTCTCCACCCATATGCGTTGAATAAATTCTTCTTTAATCTGCATTCCATTGTTGCTTTTTGGTGTTGATTTGGATTTCAGTTGGTTTTTTGCAGGTTTCGTTTCTTGATTTGGTTTTGATTTGATTTTAGTTGATTTTGATTTGATTTCAGTAGGTGTAGAAGGAGGTAGAAAGAAATGACGGGGCGGAGGGTGGATCTAGGGCGAGGAAGATTTTTGATGGTGAGGGGTTCAATGGTTGCCGACGGTATAGGAGAAGGAAGGCCCCCGGAGAACGTGGCAGTCGGAGAAGATGAACCCACGGTGGCTGATTTGGGGTACAAATCTGGAACATCAACTGAGGGGAGGCAATGGAGGGGAGAAGATTTTTGTTAAACTTTTTTCTTAAAAAGATAATATTATTAGAATTTAAAATCAATAATAGAAAAATAGAAAAACAAATAAAAAAATTTAAGAAAGGGTATTTTAGTCATTTCAGGTGTGGTAGGGACTGAACGTGCAACAAATATAAACAATAGGGATGGTCCGAGTGCAAAAAAAAAGTTAGGGACCAAACACGCAATTTTACCCAAACCACAGGGACAATTTCAATAATTTGTTCTTAAAAAAATAAAATGTGTTTAATATTTGTGCACAAAAAATGTTTATATATTAAAATAAAGTAATTTAATTAAATTAGAAAAAAAAATAATAAAAAATTAAAGTGCTAGGAGTGTTACCACTCCCTACCAAATGCTAAGATTTGGTGGTAAATGGTCAAAAATGAAGTTGCACTCAAAAATCTGACGTGGCAAAGTGTTAGTAGTGTTACCACTCCCCTTATAAGAAAAATCATAAAAGGTTTCTATTAATCACAAAAATAACACCGCCTAAAACACCAACGTGGTCAATTTTTTGACTTTAATCTCGTCCATTAATTTAGTAAATCAAAATGTTAGAATTTTTCATCACTTAATCTATGTTATATATATATATATATATATATATATATATATATATATATATAATATCTAATATATATAAAGAGAGAGAGAAGTTCAAATGTTTCTAGCAACTATTGTGTGCATGAATGCATCAATAGGAATTAGGAATAATTAAATAATTAAAAATTGTAATAAGGGTAATTATGTAACTTTAGCATGATAATTAAAATCAAATCCTTTAATTCATGGAAATTACCATAAAAATCTCTTTGACCAACTATTAAACCCTAGCCTCTCATATCATACGTATTCTATTTCTGCATCCTCCCATTTTCTTATTGAAGAATGAACATCGCCTGATCAAAAGAGGTGGTCGAAACCTCTTGCCACACTTGTCGACGATGTGAATTGGAATCAAGGTGTCGAGGGTCTCCACCTATTGCTGACCTATCTGATTTACATGAATTCCATCCTTCAGCTCGCCTCCACAGCTCTCCTGTCCACCTGCAATCGTTCTTCTAGTGGGTGCTTCTCCAAGAAACCTTCTCCATACCTGTATCGATTTCATGCGGTCTTCTTTTTTGGTTAGGTATGATTGTTTTTTTCGTTTACTCCGGTTGATTTTAAATTGGTTTCTGATTTTGCGTCTGGAACATGATGTTAATTGGTTTCTAATTTTGCACCTTGAGTTGATTGATTGGTTTAGAAATTGATTTATGATTTTGCACCTTGAATGTAATTGCTTTCTGAAATTGCACATGATGTTTACCTTGTTGAATCTGATGTCGATCTTGAAATGTTAATTTGCTATGTGTAATGTGAAAGTGTAACTTCCACCCACCAGGTGTTCGACATAATGCCAACATTGCATCATTCTTCCTTAAACATTCTACATATTCTTATGTGATAATGATTTCTTTTTATTTATTCTAGATATTGTAAGTTATGTATACCTTAAATATTTTAAGCATTGTGGTTTACGTTTATTTATTCTATGTATGTTGGTTTGATAAAATGTTCACTTCAAATTATTCTACTTATTCAAATGTATGTTGTATACTAGTTATTCTAACTACTTTTACTTATGTTTTATGTTATGTGTTGAATATTCTATATATTCTAATCAAGCTTCAATTGCTACAGATGATGAAAGATACACTATTATTCTGCTGATTCGATTGTATGTTGTATTGCTTTAATTAAAATATCACTAATCAAGCTTCTAATTGCAGCAAAAGATGGACCAATTGTTGATCGGTTGATGAAATACTTTTCAGTTTAAGCTAATTAAGCTAATTCTGTGAGAATGACTTTCTTTCCTCATCATTGGGTGTTTATTCTTATCTTCAATTGTTTCATTCTTTAAGAATATTATGTATCTAATGTATTCTTCTATTTAAATAATGTGTAGAGAGTATTATAATCTTGGAGAATCACATAAGAATGATTCTGCCAGAATTGTATTTCTAGTATAATCATATAAGAATGATTATGGTAGAATCACGTAAGAATGATTTTGCAAGGGTTGTATTGCAATTGGCTGAAGTTTTAACATGATTTTTGTTTCTTATGTTTTTCAGATGTTTTAAGTTTTACCTAGGGATCACTTACCATCCTCGAGTTTATCTCTTTTTTGCAACTCCTTGTATAAAATCATTCTCATTCAATACAATTCTGACAGAATGTCAATCTCACAAAATGTCAATCTCACAAAATGTTAATCTCATAGAATGCTAGCATATTTTGAAGTGGCTTAGAGGTTAAACATACACAAGACATCTAGAAACAAAACAAGAAAGTGAATGAGGATTCTTTCAAGAATGCCGATATTTTTTTTGCAATAGATTTCAAGAATGAATATAATTACTTATTCTAAACTATTAAACTTCGTCTTATATAAAATTTGTATTCATTAAAAATTATTGGTCTTGATAATATGTGTATATACTATTATGTTCATAGTTGTATATCATTCTGACAGAATTACAAAATATCATTCTAACAAAATAACATTCTTATGGAATAAAATCGGTTTATGCTTACAAATTACGTTTGAAATTGAATTAATTTGAAAAAAAAATCAGATTTTTTAAATCAAAATCATTAATTATCCCATAAATCTCGACTTTTCCTTTTTTTAATTCGTCTCAATTTACTAAAATGCCCTTATGTTGAATTTTGTGTGATTATATGGTACATGTTACCCTATTGTACTATCATAGACCATCAGATCATAACATTTGATTATATTCCATCCGATGGTCTAGATCTGTGCATTCTGGCACACAATAGTTACTAGAAACAAAATAATATATATATATATATATATATATAATATATATATATATATATATATATATATATATTGTCAAGATCAATTAAAAACCAAAATAACATTGATAACTAAAGAAATTTGTTCCCGTCACCACAAATATATACATATAAACGATTAGATTATTCAAATACGTAAAATTGTATATTTTCAATCAAAACAACACAAAAGATGCACATATGCATGGCTTAAGGATTTCATGAAAAAAAATGTAATTTTTTTCGGAACTAAAAAAATCGTGTTTCTGTATATTTTTTCAAGTGAACCCTATAATCACCATTATATGGTATATATTACTTAAATTAAGATGTATTTTCAAATTGCAAATTAGTTATTGATGTCTTAATAGGTCTTCTTTGAAAAGGTGCTATTATTTATTTGTATGTGTGTAATTGCAAAAAGTTATAAGACACAACTGAAACGTTATTGGTTTTTTACTTAGAAATTTAAGAGTACTCTCCACGTCAAGTCATGTAGAGCTTTCAGATCAGCCACCACCGAAGGGGGTGTTTGGCTTAGTTTTTGAGAAGCCAAAAGTCCTTTTAGGAAAAGATCAAAGATAAAAGATGTTTGACAAAAGACTTTTAAAAGCTACTTTTGGATTTTGGATAGAAGGAAAATCAACTTTTTGGAAAAGTCAGGAAAACCTGACTTTTTGCAACTTTTCCAAAAAGAACTTTTGTCCTCTAAAAAACTAAACCAAATGCCCCCGAAATATTTCCACCTTAAAGAAGAAAACAGAAGAAGATGTGCAAGAGAGAAGAAACCCACCACAATCATTGTCATATGTGGTGGTGACCACAATATACCACAACCACTTCGGACGACCCTCGAAGATGGTGTCCATAGTCATCTTCGTTGCCACCTCAACCACTTCATGAATCATGACATTTATTCCAGATCTTCGTTGCCACCTCAACCACTTCATGAATCATGACATTTATTCCAGAAGGTCTTATAGTCTTAAGTATTTAATTTTTATATGTTATGTTTCTATTATGGTAATTATTTACTTTTTTATATAATGTAAATATATAATATATATGTTAGAGTAAATTATTGAAATAGTCCCTATGGTTTGGTCAAAATTACGTGTTTTGTCCCTAATATTTTTTTTTGCATTCAAACCATCCTTGTGGTATTCATTTGTTGCGATTTTCGTCCCTAAAAACATGAAAAGACAATATTACCCTTATTTATTTATTTTTTCATTTTATTTATTATTTATTTATTAATAAATGTTTTAAAGAAAATTATTAAATATGGTTCCCATCATTCACTCTTCTAATCAGCACCTCCGCCATCAACATCTACCTTCTACTACCACCGCAGTCGGACACCTCCACTCAAACCCAGAAATCCAACCATTCACCACCACTGCTATAACACCACAGTCACCCTTTTATATCCTCATCGGCACCACCACCTCCATCATCAAAGATCAACACCAACACCAACACCAACAACGGTAACATTGCCCACAACCACCTCCCCTACTTTGCATCTAAAAATTAAACAAAAAAATCAAACCCCAAAAATCATACCCAGTGCCTAAATCGATGCAAGGGATGCTCAAACCCATAAATTAAAACTAATTATCATGTCCAGAAATTAAACCCAGAAATCACAGATGAATTGAAACTCAAACCATAAATCATTGATGAAATCAAAACCCAAAAGTAATAGATGAACTCAAAATCAAATCATTTAAAACCAAATTACCTATAAATGAAATCAAAATCAAACCACTCAAAACCAAAAATGAACATGATGAGCTTCAAAAGGAATGAACTTG